TATATATATATATATATATATATATATATATATATATATATATATATATATATATATATATATATATATATATATATAATTCCCTTAAGGACCACTAAAAGCCATTAGATGTGATGGATCAGTCATGACAGTAGCTATTTTATTATTAGATGGTAAATGACTAAATTCTTCAGTTCACTTGAGATTGTATGCACCATTCTGCATTTGGAGGCTAATGTTCTCCGTGCCATTGCAGGGAACCGTCAGCAGGAGCAACTGTATGAAGGACAGAGCCTGTTTTTCCACTCCCGCTAACTGCGATCCGTCTAACTCCAACGGATGTTATTTCGTCTCCACAAGACCAGTGAGCAACAACACAAACAATCTCACCTTCGAGCTCAGCGGCGCCTCCAGTGGTTATATCGCAGTCGGACTCTCAAGCAACAACCAGCAGGTCTGAAAAAGATCACGTTTATTTCCATTGATAGAACGAATGGTTACACTTTAAAATGATGGTCTGTTAGTTAATGTTAATGTATTTACTAACACAAACCAACAGTAAGTACTGAATTTAATACTGTATTCAATCATCTTCGTTAACATTAGGTAATGTGATTTAAGTTTTTGTCTGTGGGATGAGACGTTAAACCGAGGTCCAGACTCTTTGTCCGACAGCTGGCTCTCTGCAACTCTCACATGGTCGCCCACTGATGCTAAGCATGGCTGCGCCCGGTCAGTACCTGAATGAGAGAACACATGTGAAGCTAGGTTGCTGTTGAAAGTGGTGTTAGTGAGACCAGCAGGGGGCACTCAACCTGCGGCCTATGTGGGTCCTAGCGCCCCAATATAGTGTAGGGGACTCTATCCTGCTCAGTGAGTGCCGTCTTTTAGTTGAGACATTAATCCGCGGTCCTGACTCCCTGTGCTCATTAAAATCCCAGGATGACCTCTGAACGCGGCGCCCCATCGCATTGTTTGCCCTGCGGGCCCATCCACTACAACACTGCCTCTAAACCATCCCCATATCATAATTGGCTTCATCATTCTGTCTCTTCTCCACCAATCAGCTGGTGTGTGGTTCGCCAGATTTCCCCTATTGTGTAAAGCAGCCACATGACAACAGCGCCAGTGCTTCACTACACACCAGCTATAGGTACAGGCCATGAAAGGTAAGGCCTGAAGGAGGGAATTTGGCCAGGACACCGGGGTTACGCCCCTACTCTTTACCAGAAGAGTAGACCACAAATAATAATACTAATATAATAATAATAATAATTTCCTACATGACACTCAAAGCGCTGTCGTATCATCCAAGTGGATGCTGCACACTGGGGGTGGTGTGGAGAGACTCCACACAAGGTTGTGAAGCACTTTGAGTGTATGACCATGCACGATGCAAAAATACATTACATTAAGTTGAATAACATTAGTTCATGTTAAGTCACAGTGCACTAACTAACTAATATTAACAAACACAACTTTGGATTTTAATAATGCATTAGTAAATGTTGAACTAGATGCTTTATGAGTTAACTGATACTTAGTTAATGTTAGTAAACACATTAATAATGGACCATTAGTCTAAAGCAGAGATGCCTAAAGTAGAGCCAGTCGGCCAGATTTGGCCCATGGTAAACTTTGATTTGGCCCACCATCCCATCTGAAATAAGAGGAAGAATGATGGGGAGGTGTTTGGGGCGAATGCCTTTGACAGAGATCATCATTTCGAATTTAGCTTGACCTTTTGTTTCTTTGTTTTATTGCCAAGCTACAAAAAAAATGAAATTAAATGATTCAATTAAATGTTATAAATGAACCAGACAGATAGAGGATTGCATTGAACTCCATTTGGTGGAGGAGTTTAAGTATCTGGGGGTTGTGTTCACGAGTGAGGGAAGGATGGAGTGTGGAAGGCGGTTTGGTGCAGTGGCAGCAGTAATGCGGTCAAAAGAGGCAAAGTTTTCGATTTACTGGTCAATCTACATTTCTACTCTCACCTATGGTCATGGCTTTGGGTCATGAGCGAAAGGACAAGATCTCAGATACAAGCTGCCAAAATGAGTTTCCTCTGCCCGGCAGGGTGCACTCTTAAACATAAGGTGAGGAGTTCTGTCACCTGGGAAGAGCTCGGAGTAGAGCCGCAGATCTCCCACATCGAGAGAAGTCAGCTGAGGTGGCTCGGGCATTTCTTTCAGATGCCTCCTGGACGCCTCCCTAGGGAAATGTTCAAGGCATGTCCCACTAGGAGGAGGGCGGAAGACCCAGGCAACGCTGAAGAGACTATGGCCGTACTCGCAATGGGTACAGTTGCCTTGAACCGGGCCAAAGCACGCTTGTCCCCCCTCCCGTCTCCCCCGACGGCTTGCACTCACACCACAATCGTGCCTCGGCACGCTTACGTCATCGCTGCTGCGCTGTTCAGTGAGAATCGCTGTCACTCAGCAGCACAGTGGAGATTTCTCTAGTTATATCGTTTCAGTCGTTTGATATGCAGTGACATGCAGTCAAATATTTTGCCAAACAGTCCTTAGGGATGCGGTGACACTGCTGAAGGTCTGCTGAAGGTGTGCAGCTGTCGTGAAGTGAGCAGTTTGCGTTCACTGAACAGTAAGAAAGATTAATAAATCCATATGAAACAGTCCCTTAAAAGTCACGTCTCGCTTTCAGTTTCGGGCTTTGGCGTGTTTTGCACTCACACACAAGCGTACCGCGCCAAAGCCCAAGTGAACCGCACTCAGGCCCACCTCTTCCAACCAGGCCAGGGCCGGCCAAGTGAACCGTGCTTGAGCCCGATTCAGTGCACTCACACTTCTCAAACGATCCAGGAAACGGGCCTGGGCACGGTATGGATGATATTGTGTGAGTAGGCCCTAAGTCTCTCGGCTAGCCTGGGAACGCCTCGGGATCGCCCCGGAGGAGCTGGAGGAAGTGTCTGGGAAGAGGAAAGTCTGGGGTTTTCTTCTAAGACTGCTGCCCCTGTGACCCAGCCCCGGAAAATCGGAAGAAAATAAATAAATGAATGAATGAATGAATTAAATAAATAAGTTCAGTATAAAATGTTAAAGATGATACTGCGTTAGTTGATACGATTTAAAGCAACATTTTTAGGAAATTCCCCTTGGCAAATACGGCTTGGTATATGTTTGACCCACAGCCCTCAATCAAGTTTAGTTATTAGCCCCTTTCACACAGTGATACCGGTAAATATCCAGAAAATTTACGGAACGACTTTACCGGTATATACAAAAAAGCGCTGTTCACACAGGCGAGGACATTACGGAAATTTTCCGGAAAAGAGCATTCACACATCCATTCCAAAATATCGGTAAATTCTGACATCATTCACCACAAATGACCTCTAAACGGCTGCGCTTGTATTTGTAAACATTTGACTAAATTACAAACTCTGTGGATGATCAATATTGTGAACAACTTTCGCAGGATCACTTTCGCATGTCGAGATGTTCATAATATGTGTGTGTGCAGGCGCTCACAGGCTGTTTCACAGGCACACGCAAAGCTTGAAGGTAAACAAACAGCGGCTTATCATAAGCATCTCATCGATGATTATTTACACAGTTGGCATTAAGAAGAACATATAAACGTGATCTGAGTAACTTCTAGCAGCTAAATGTGTCTGGAAAAATATTCAAAGACTTTTATTCTCATAAACCGCGCGGACGTAAATGCGTCTGACTGTTCTGATTGGCTAAAGCAGACGTCTCACGTCAGCACGTTCTAGACGTGCACGCGCTTATTACAGCAATCTTCCTTCTGCATTCACACAGCGCAGCATTCCGGCAAATTGCCGGTAATGTTACAACTTCTCTTTCCAGAAAATAGCCAGAACGAATTTACCGGTATTTTCAAAAAGGACCTGATCACACATACAACCTTTCCGGAAAATTGCCGGTAATTTTCCGGAAAGGTCTGTATGTGTGAAAGGGGCTTTTGGCCCTTTATAAGGAAAGCTTTGGGCACCCTTGTTCTAAAGTGTCACTCAATGAAATTTCAACACATCAAATGTTTGGGTTCTCAGACTGATCTACCTTTCCTCCTCACAGGGCTATTGTGACACCATCTATTCTTGTGCAAACAACAACGGTGTGCTGAAGTTCATCCGTGCCTCGCTGAACAACACCGTTCTGGCTCAGGATAACACTGTAAGTCTCTTATCACCGCCTCCATGCATGACATGATAGCAAACACAAGCAAGACTTTGCCAGCAGTATACACAATGAACAGCACAGAGCTCAAAACAAGAAACCCACTGAGCGGATTTATTAGAATCACAAGAAAAACAGGAAGATTTGCGAGAGACAGAAATCCCAAAACCACATTTTTGATCGAATTTCAGAATAATATCTCATAATCACATTTATCCAACATCATTTAGCGCAGGATTCATCAAATCTTGCCCAGGAGGGTCAATGTGGCCAAAATCGGCAGATTATTTAGCTTGTTTAGCTGTAGGAAAAAACTCACTTACTTTTTGCCATATAATTTCTTAAAACAAGGCAGTTTGATTTGCTCGTCTAGACAATGCTTCTTGATTTAAGATTGTTTAGATATATGAACTAGAAGAAAGACAAAAAAGAATAACATATTCAGTGGTGTACTGTATATACTCTAGTGGTGGAACGAGTACAGAACAATCATACTCCCGTATCAAGACTTGCTTAAACATTAAGTGCACATAGAGTAAAAGCATGAGTAAAAACGTACTCAAGAGTAGTGAGTATCACGCTGTTAAAAGCTGATGTGTTTTTATGCAATATGTGTGTGGAAACGTAACATTCTGTAGGGAATTTAGTGATGGTTTTCAGTCATCATACAGTCGACAGCCTTCATTTTCTCATCAGTGACGTGCCAACAGTCATTAGCCCCTTTCACACAGTGATACCGGTAAATATCTGGAAAATTTCCGGAACGACTTTACCGGTATATTCAAAAAAGCGCTGTTCACACAGGCGAGGACGTTACGGAAATTTTCCGGAAAAGAGCATTCACACATCCATTCCAAAATACCGGTAAATTCTGACATCATTCACCACAAATGAGCTTTAAACGGCTGCGCTTATGTTTGTAAACATTTGACTAAATTACAAACTCTGTGGATGATCAGTATTGTGAACAACTTTTGCAGGATCACTTTCGCATGTCGAGACGTTCATAATATGTGCGTGTGCAGGCGCTCACAGTCTGTTTCACAGGCACACGCAAAGCTTGAAGGTAAACAAACAACGGCTCATCATAAGCATCTTATCGATGATTATTTACACAGTTAGCATTAAGAAGAACATATAAACGTTATCTGAGTAACTTCTAGCAGCTAAATGTGTCTGGAAAAATATTCAAAGGCTTTTATTCTCATAAACCGCGCGCACGTAAATGCGTCTGACTGTTGTGATTGGCTAAAGCAGACGTCTCACGTCAGCACGTTCTAGACGTGCACGCGCTTATTACAGCAATCTTCCTTCTGCATTCACACAGCGCAGCATTCCCGCAAATTACCGGTAATGTTACAACTTCTCTTTCCGGAAAATAGCCAGAACGAATTTACCGGTATTTTCAAAAAGGACCTGTTCACACATACAACCTTTCCGGAAAATTGCTGGCAATTTTCCGGAAAGGTCTGTATGTGTGAAAGGGGCTATTGTGTGTATAGATTCTGGTCATCTTCTTAAACATTTCTAATGCTTTCAAGTGCTGCAAGTCTTGAGGTTGTTTAGTACTTACTTTCTATGTGCGGTTTGATTGGGTGGGAATCACAGGACAGATTTTTCTACTCATCCAATCCCCGTAGACAAGAAAAAATAAGGTAGTGACTGCAGTTTGAAGGACAGAGTGGAGTACTGATACAGCACTAAACATGTACTCAAGTATTTGCAGTTTATTACTTTACAGCACTGAATGTCTATTACCTTCTAGTTTCTATCTGTAATGTCCTCTGTTGTTTTGCAGTTTTTCCCTGGATCGATCAGTGGTTTGGTGAACAGCACAAAAATTCAGTGTATCTTCACGGCTGCAGGTCTGAGCAGCAACACTCGAGCAGCAAACACGAACACATACCTCTACTACTTCACCGGAAACTACACAAACGGTGAGCCAAAAATGACCTAAACAGGCCAGGGTTAAGAATTCAAAGTCTACTGTTTTGTATGAATAAAAAAAAAAAAAATAATATATATATATATATATATATATATATATATATATATATATATATAATTAGGGATGTAACGGTATCAGAATTTCACGGTACGATAATACTTCGGTATGAATGGCACGGTACGGTATTTATTGAATAATTTACAGGAAAAACAAAACTAATGAAAAGACTTGAAAAAAGTACCAAAAGTGTTTATTTACCTTAGCACTGAACACATCAATGACAAACAAATTAGCCATCTATCTGTAAGTTTCGAAACAGGAACTTAAATTTTTCAATTTTAATAACAAAAAACTATAAAACCATATAAAAAAATAAAGTTTCAATTTAGTATTGTTGAAAACTCATCACATTCAACATTTAATCACTCACTCACTTAGATAGAGATGGGTTTAAAGGAAAATATTCATATAAATATTATCTGGTAAAAGCTGGTATCTCTGGGTATTTACAATGTCCCCTTCAACAGAAAAAACCCTCTCATTTGGGACTGAGGTTTCTGGGACAGAGAGATATGATTTAGCCCAGGTTGACAGCAGTGGGTAACGTTGTGCATTGTCTTTCCACCACTTGAGAGGACAAGCCATGAGTGAGATAGAGGTCTCTTTGCGGTACAAGTCAATGTCTGCATCAATCTAACAAGTGTGCTGTGTTCTGCAGTCCCCATGACTGTTTTTAGTCGTATTCCCCGACTTATATTTCACCACAGTCTGGCAGTGCCTGCATACTGTTTTTTTCTTTGTCTGTCACCTTTTCTCCTTTTTCGTATCTTTTTAGAGAGAAACCGAAATGCTTCCACTCATCCGATTTAAAACCCGCTTTAGGTTAGATCTTTTCCAGCTCTTTTTCTTCCCCGCTACTAGCAGCACACTCCATTTCCACATTACTGGATCTGTAGTGACAACAGACCGCAAAGGATGATGGTACCTTCCGTTCGCTTCATTCGCCTGAGCAAACTTTTCTCAAAAATATAGTTTTATTGAGTCATGCGCCTACGGTAATATTGAAAAAAATTACTATTGCGGTATGACGGTATTTACAATATTGTTACATCCATAATATATATATATATATGAGCAATATCACAGGAGTAGCAGTTCGATATGGCTGTATATCAGCACTGGTGGGAGGCGTGGGTAGGCATGAGGCCGCAGACCAAGTGCCTTATGCTGTGTTCACACCAGACGCGGAACTCCTCCAGAAACCTAACCTGGATGACGGAGGCTTTCAGCGGTGCTTCTGACTGAGCCCAGCCCAGTTTGATGAACTTTTTGTTGATGTCAGCTGGAGGATTTCCCCCGTGACACCAACATCAGGCGATACGCGGTGCGAATGTCTGCTGAAGTTCCGATTTTTAAACTCGAGTGATTTGTGCGAAAAAAGCGCGAAAAAACGCTCAATTCCCAACCCGCTCTGAGTTGATATAAAACCGGCGACTTTCCTCATTGGAGTCAGTTGCTTTACCAAGGAGGCTAAAGACCATGGCCTTTAGCATCTGTTGCTGCACTAGGTTACCTGCACAGCACCTACTGGCTGGCCTCCGTTACACATGTATATATTTAAAAACATTTATCTCTAATACAATGCCCACATAGTTTTTCCATTTTCATTTTCAAATGCATTTTAACTGTTGATCTTTAATTAGTATAATGAAGAGATATATTAGTAGTACTTTTTTATTCTTGTAAAGCTTTATTGTCATTCTTCTACATGTGTGAACATACAGTGGACCTAAATTTTGCCTCTCACTAAGTCACGGTTCTACATAAAAAAAACAATTAAAACTATTTTAATCCTATTCATATCTAAGATACTGGAGCGGTACTTTAGCTACAATATAATTAAACTATTCATACACTCACCGGCCACTTTATTAGGTACACCTTACTAGTACCAGTTTGGACCCTCTATTACCTTCAGAACTGCCGTAATCCTTCATGGCATAAATTCAACAAGATGCTGGAAATATTCCTCAAAGATTTCACTCCATATTGACATGACAGCGTCACACAGTTGCTGCAGATTTGTTGGCTGCACATCCATGATGCCAATCTCCCGTTCCACCACATCCCAAAGGTTGGATTGAGTCTGTTGAATGTTTGAGTACAGTGAACTCATCGTCATGTTCAAGAAACCAGTCTGAGATGATTCCCGCTTTATGACATGCTGCGTTATCCTGCTGGAAGTAGTCATCAGCAGATGGAGACACTGTGCTCATAAATGGATGGACATGGTCAGCAGCAATACTCAGGTAGGCTGTGGCGTTGTTGCTCAATTGATACTAATGGACCCAAAGTGTGCCATGAAAATCTCCCCCACACCATTACACCACCACCAGCAGCCTGAACCGCTGATACAAGGCAGGATAGATCCATGCTTTCATGTTGTTGATGCCAAATTCTGACCCGAGCATCTGAATGTGTCAGCAGAAATGGAGACTCATCAGAGCAGGCAACGTTTCTCCAATCTTCTATTGTCCAGTTTTGGTGAGCCTGTGTGAATTGTAGCCTCAGTTTCCTGTTCTTAGCTGACAGGAGCGGCACCCAGTGTGCTCTTCTGCTGCTGTAGCCTATCCGCTTCAAGGTTGGACGTGTTGTGCGTTTAAAGATGCTCTTCTGCAGACCTTGGTTGTAACGAGTGGTCATTTGAGTTAACAATAACTGGCAATTATTTCCACCCCTTGCATGTACCCCAAGTGGCCCATGCCCATAATACCCATTGGATAATCTGCTCCTAGATCCAGTAACTCTAGTAGATCTTCATTTGTATCCAAAATGACAAAGTTTCCACTGTTTTTATTTCCACAGGCACTCTGGGCTCTCCGCTCACTCAAATGAACACGAATTCATCAGTGGATCTGACCAATGTTAACAGCTCAAATGTGGTGATAATAACACCGCAGTCATCTACAACCAGCACTAACAGCACTGCGACTACTGCTGCCACAGCCAAACCCGCAACCACAGCGAGTCGTGCCGCACTACAGAACGCTGTGTCTCAAGGTGAGCACGCATTTACATCACACACAACACTGCCTTTATAAAATACAGCGAGGAAACCTTCAAAGGAAAGCCTGAAATCATTAGCATAATGCCTCGTTTCCACTGACTAGTACAGTGTGGTACGGTTCGGGCCAGTACGGGTCACCTTTATCAGGCTTGCGTTTCCACCACAAAAGGTACCCTTTTGGGGGGCGTGGTGTACGACATAAAGTTTTAGGCTGCTTTCACACCTGTGAATCGATTCAGTTGTTCCGATACAGAGATTACAATTGTTACATTGTTGCTCTTTGCTCTTGGAGCGGTTCGCTTTCACACTGCAAAGTTTCTAATCGGACCAAAAGAGCTAAAACAAGTCACGTGCGAGTAAACTCTCCTCACATTGGTCAGAGTGTCAGGGTTTATTTTGCAGCGTCCCGCTCAGCTGTCAGGAGAGGTGGTGGTTTGGTGGTGATTGACAGGGTGTGTGCGCGCGACGTGTCTGAGGAGAGATGCGGTGGGGAGGGGTGAGAAGGGTGCGCGAGGACCGGGAGGGAGACGTGAGATTACCGGGAGATCATCACTCGTTTGTGGGCATCCGGAGACTCGTGACACTTCCCGCCCTACTCATAATTCTCTCTTCACATAGCCGTAAGCCTATTACATATCCATAAAACACAGTGATATAACCGCGCTCGGATCGGATCGCTTTCTCACTGCAATCAAACCGCTCCAGGGTTCGTTTCAATCGAGCCGAGGCCGCCTCATTCAAGCGATCTCGGAGCGATTACTTTGGCGCGAAACAGAACGCGATTGCCCTGTTCACATATGCCAAACGAACCGCACTAACTGGGCAAACGAGATACGTTCCGAAACAAAAGTGTAGGTGTGAAAGCACCCTAAGTCAACGTCATGCTCGCTGGAATAAATGTCGACAGTAAAGCTGTACAGGTCGTCCACATATCATAATGAACATTTATGTGTGTAATGCTTTACACACATAAATACTTGTTTATAAATGTTTATTACTAACTTTTCTATGAACATGATTTGTCTATAACTGCAAATCAATGACTTTAGGCTATTGTAACGTGTGCAATTATATAAAATAAATACATAAATGAAACATATATGAACACATACAGCCTCTTACAGTCTCTGATATATTATTAATTACAGAAAAACTACACACAGCAGACATTTAGTACTTATTTGAATTCAAAAACACACGTAATACAGCCCAGAGTCAGCGCAAACCTCTCATCTGTGTCTGTAATCTTCACCCGCACATGTCAGCTCTGTTAGAGAGTCATTCTGTCATTCCCAGTTCATAGTCCAAAAGGCGAAGATAATCATGGCAGTTTGTTCATGATCAGGTTGCTAAAACAATCTTGCTCCTGTGTTTTGCCGGGTTTCTCTTTTTTTTCAGCGTTTCACTCCCGCTTCACTCTCGCGCTTGTCCTTTTCTTACTGAATGGATCAGATGAAGGAGACACTTTAATAATCACACACACGTTATTATCAACAGCTCAAGAAGTTCGTTATATCAAATATAGACGTGATCGCGCGCTCCCGGAAGAAAGCGAATACCGCTCGCACTTTTATATGGGCTCGTAAAACAACAACAGGACACGGCAGATTTTTCTTCTTGGCTTGGTGTCTGTTCGTCGAGACGACGTCAAGGTTTGTTTGAGCTCGGGTCATCCATGGCTGGTTATTATATGCATGTAGTATTTCCATGTAATGTCTCGGCTTTGTATTTAAAAAAAAACATGGCGGTTCCTTTGTTTACCTTTTGTGTAGCTCCACGAGCTCGTGACGTATCTCTGTAACCAATCAGCGTTCAGCTGCACGTGTAGCTCCACCTTTTGGTACCCTTTCTCCAGTTTGGGACCCTTTCAAAAGGGTGCCGAAAAAGTGGTACGGCACGGTTTGGTTCGGTACGCTTTTGACATTAGAAACGGCCAAAAAAGCGTACCAAACCGAACCGTACCGTACCACTCAGTGGAAACGGGCCATAAAAAGCACAATGGCTAATGCTAATGCTGCCTCTACACAGCCCTGCTGAAAAATCCAGCTTAAACCAGCCTAAGCTGGTTTAAGCTGGATTTTTCAGCAGGGAGGGAAGGAGGCTAAAGGCCGGTATACACCAAACAACTTTATTACCTAATTCTTGCTAAATCTTTCACTGTTTTGTTCATAATCAACTGTTTTTACATAAGATTCATATCTGTTATGTTCTATTGTTAATTACTAAAAATATAAAGAAGCAAGAAGGTTGCTGGTTTGAGTCCCGGTTTCCCCCACAGTCCAAACACATGCACTATTGGGGAACTGATGAACTAAATTGGCCGTAGTGTATGAGTGTGTGTGTGTGTGTGAATGGGTGTGTATGGATGTTTCCTGGTAATGGGTTGCAGCTGGAAGGGCATCCACTGTAAAACATATGCTGGAATAGTTGGCAGTTCATTCCGCTGTGGTGACCCCTGATGAATAAGTGACTACGAAAAATGAATGGATGAGTTTTATAATCAAAAATCAAACACTCTTTGCTCTTGTTGTTGTTTTCAGCGGCTGTGGTGATTCTGGCAGGGATCCTCGCCGTAATCCTGTTGTAAGGACACCAAAATGACATTTTCTTTCTGAAACTGGTGGATGAGCACTGACCGCTTCATGAACCCAACACTACAGTAAATCCAGCACACGTCAATGAAGAAAGAAAGTGGAAATATGGGTAATAGGGGGGAAATCATAAATAATCGAATGCCTGTGTGAATGTGTTTATGAGAGTTTAAGTTTGCATTTTATGTTACACAAATGATTTATCATAATCAGTCTAGTAATTTAACCGTGCAGGTGTGATGTCTATAAATGTTTATTTATTCTGTAAGGAAAAATGCTGCCTCCAAACACTGATTGCATGTACAATTTAAATAAAGTCTCCTGTATTTTTTGAAGAAAAAACAAAGATGCTTAATAAAGTTCCTTACATGTTTTACAAGTAAACGATGGCCTCTTAAGATCAGCGAAAGATCAAATATTTACTTAATTGAAGGTGCAGTTGGTGATTGTCTTCAGAAACATGTGTTGTTGTGCTGGTTGAAAGTCTCTTCACATTCCAGTAGTAATGATTAAATAATCTAAATGTGTTTATATGTGTTTTTTATATTCTGGGTGAGGCAGAAGACTAAAAAAATGTTCATCCAATTAAATAATGTCGAGTCCACATCTCCCATAATTCAGATAAGTAGACCAAACTGTCTGTCAGTAAATGGAGATTTGTACAACTGCAGCCGTTCATGCGGATTCGCTGTTTGCACATGAGAGAGAGAGCGAGAGAGAGAGAGAGAGAGCGAGAGAGACAGCGGTAAAAACAAATGCTGAATCAAAACTTGTTAAAATCCTCAATCAGTATTGGAGTTACGTTGTACGCTGGAGGAAGGATGCCACCATGTCTGAATTATTGCTGTTGGACAGGTAATGTTCTGTTTAAAACTCTTTTAGTCACACAGAGCTGATGTAGATTGGGTTGTTATGAATGGGTTATATTCACAGAAGTGTTGCTCAGCTTCTGAAATCCTCCGGTGAAAGACAGATGTGAGTGTTTGCATGTCGTTTATATACACTATAAACAGCAGCTATGTTAATTATTTCCTTTATTCTCCATTTCTACCTGGAGATACTCATTCTGAAGCCCTCAGACTATGCAGTACCACTGATTCAATCCAAGACCAGCGACGAGATGATCCCAAGGTCTCCATAATCCTGGATTAGGCCGTATCCTGAGCAGCTGCTGTGGTGGTCATGGAGGAGTGGAGAGTATGAGACTGATTCCTGTGACGGTCCAGGGTCAGATGAGTCCCTCCGGCGCCTAGACTGCAGCTCTGCACAAGAAGTTTGGCCAGTGGAGAAATGGTCGTGCCCAACTGAGCCTGGTTTTTCTCAAAATTTTTAAATTTACTTTCGCCAATTGGTGAAGTTTTTTCCTTGCCGCTGTCGCCACTGGCTTCGGGATCTGTAGAGCAGCGCATAGAAGGATTTGCTCTTCAATGCTTGGTAGACTCTCAGTAGTGAACATTAAACCATACTGAACTTAAAAACTGAAAAATGGACTGACACTGTTTCAATTTACTATAATCTGCTACGTGAAGCTGCTTTGACACAATCTACATTGTAAAAGTGCTATAAAAATAAAGACGAATTGAATTGAAATTATTTTCAGTTTCATAAGGTCCTTTTTCTGCATCAATAATGTAGATTGATATTTCGTTTAACAACATAACATTAGTAAACAGCACTATAAACTAGCCTGCGTTACTGAGCTGAAGATGCTTTTATATTCACATTGGGCCATTATTGAACAATGACAGCCTGTGACTAGGGTTGGGTATCGTTTGGTTTTTTTTTTCGATACCGGTGCCTAATCGATACTTTTAAAACGATACCGGTGCCAAAACGGTGCCTGAATCGATACTTTTTAGCCACAAAATGATGGTGGACGACTGTACAAAAATATTTTATTTGACAAAATATTTAAAAAATAATTTTAATAGAACAATATAATTACAGTTTAAAGTTAACAAAAATTGATATTGTATTACATTGATACATTTCCTTTGATAATTTGTTGGTTAGCATGAATTTAAGATTTGCATTATGTAATTACATTAGCTTACTATTAACCTGTGGGGGGCAGGCAGGGGCCATGCACTTTTAGGAGCACATTTTAACATATATATATATATATATATATATATATATATATATATATATATATATATATATATATATATATATATATCACTCTGCAGTAGGGATGTAACGGTATCAGAATTTCACGGTACGGTAATACCTCGGTATGAATGTCACGGTACGGTATTTATTGAATCATTTACAGGAAAAAACAAAACTTATGAAAATACTCCAAAAAAGTGCCAAAAGTGTCAATGACATACAAATTAGCCATCTATCTGTAAGCTTTGAAACAGGAACTTCAATTTTAATAACAAAAAATTATTAAACCATGTAAAAACAATAAAGTTTCAATTTAGTATTGTTGAAAACTCATCACATTCAACATTTAATCACACTCAGCCCATCTACCCAGATGTGAGCTCTGCTAGTCGGACTTCTCAGCATCTCCCGCTGGATCTAATCTCACTATATTTATTAAACGGGATATTTCATTTATCTTGTTGTCTTTATCTAACGACATATTCCCTGACTTTGGGCATTGGAATCTATTACTTGTTCTCAGGTAACGTGTTGTGGCTGAGCGCAAAGATAAGTTAATGATTAATGTAACCACGTACATTCTGTATATTGACTGATCGCTTGCCTTTATTTCCTATAATGTATAAACTTATTGTATGTTATACTTTTAAAATGGCCATTATCGATTATTAAAACTGATACTCAGCAAAAGAGAGGCTGTGTTTCGTATTTTCACTGAAATTGAAAGGAGGCAGTTGTTATCGGCTCCGTTTTGTTATAAATATCCAGACAGTGAAGATGACGCTTATCTTATGCAGCACGACGCCTCAACATGTCTGCTGTCTAAGTTGCTAATATTAAAATGAAAATAGGCAGTTCCTTAAATCATGTTTACATTTTATTGTTGATAAAGTGAAACAACGAAGCCAGGGTGATGTGAATGAAGTTATAAAGTACACTGTTCCCTTCGAAGATTTACCCGTGTCCTCGGTATAGTCTGCTTTTCCATATCAAACTGAGAAGAAGAGACTGCAGCCTTGATCAAACTTGCGAAGTCTGAACTTACACGGAGAAGATTCAGGACTGAACTGTGCGTGTTAGGCTACTTAATATTCAGGAAAAGCCCCAATCAGAGAGGCGAACGTCTGCAGCCCCGCCTCCGTTTTCAGATGTCTACGTTTTCCATTATCCACACTGAGACATTATCCACACATTTCGAAACGCTCCGTTTTCGGCGCTCGAGAGCTCTTTTCATCCCCGCTTCTAGCAGCACACTCCATTTCCGCATTACTGGATCTGTAGCGACAACAGACCGCAAGGGATGATGGTCAAGCATGGGCTGATGGGTATTGTAGTTTTCGCTACCTCCCGTTCGCTTCATTCGCCTAAGCAAATTTTCTCAGAAGACCTATAGTTTTACCGAGTCATGCGACTTCGGTAATATCGAAAAAAATTAATATTGCGGTATGACGGTATTTACAATACCGTTACATCCCTACTCTGCAGTCTTCATAAACAAGATAATTAAATAACTTAAACTCAAAATAATCTTCCTTGTTTATTTATTTGACAAGTAACGTTATACTGGTGTAGGAGAACACATTTCTAACATTCAAGTACATCAAGGCACATTGCTGCAACTGTCGGCCTGTTAAAGTTTACAGTTGAAGTCAATTCATTTTGCCCTCTCATTCATTCACAATAATGTTTCTGAACATTTTCACACCGTTTCCTGAAGAAATAATTACTCTAGAGTCATAATAAGTTATATTTCTTGTTGTTTATTTTGTGCATTGATAATGACCAAAACACATTGAATGACAGTAAAAAGTAGCAATTTTACCCAATAAATGCGTTAATAATATCAACTGGTTTATATATAGTCATTCAAATGAACTTCAAACGATTAAAAACTGCAACAATCATTTATTTAGGCCCGAACTACAAAACCAAATGAAAACAATTTTAGTGTCAGTTTTGCTTAAGTTGCACGCTAGTGTTGCAGGAAAGGGGAGTGGTCACTTTAAGACTTGCTATTTACGGGAGTTGTAGTCCATAGCGAAGTGTATTGTGGGTAGTGTAGTTCAACATGTATGCTGGATGATGTGAGCTCGCTGTGTGCTGCGCTGTGCAGCTGAAGCTGAGGAAGAAAGTTTTACTCGGCTTTGTTTTATGTTCACTCAAGTTATTCCACCTGAGGGCTGTTCATAACTAGATAGAATAGACATAGAGATAGAAATAGAGATTGATCGATCTCTGCAGCAGCTGCCGGAGAGCTGCGTGCTGCAGACGCAGCGGGTGTGAAAGGCAAACGGCTGCGTGCTGCTTCTTATCTCCACACGCACTGCTTTTGCTTGCGGTCTGAAACAGGCGTCAAAGGCAAACGCCTGCGTGCTGCTTCTGCTCAACATACGAGCTGCGCACTCTCTTATAGGCACCGAATTGGGCACCAAAATTCATACGCTGATTTATTACCGGTACCGGTTGCCTAGGTACCGGTGCTATAATGGCACCGGGTTTCAGTACCCAACTCTACCTGTGACGCTCTAGCTAAATTGTTTACTATGCTACTGTGACGGTCTTTCTTGGGCTGTCTTCTTACTGTACACTGTACAATGGAGACAGACAGCGCGTGTAAATAGTTGCTGGTTCACAAAGAAAATGACCACCTCCACAGCAATGCTTCGTTAACTCTGCTCTGTTTTATTCAAAACAGTTTTATATATTTTTTTATATACCATTGAATTCTTTTTACCTTTGTGATCGTATAGTGTAAATTTTAACAGTCAGAATATGAAAAACAACACACTTTGAATTTTACATGACAAATGATTGAATCACAATTCTCAATGTACAATCACTGAGTGTAACAGAGCAATACAATTCAACTCCAAAAGTAAGGAAACTTCCCCACCTAGTGGAGACTTTTAGTAACTCGTTTTGAGTAAGAAGAAAAAGAATTACAAACAATTAATTTATAACATTTAACACATACCAGTACAATGGAGACAGACAGCGCGTGTAAATAGTTGCTGGATCAAAGAAAATGACCACCTCTATATGAAACACAAGACAAATTGATTTCAATCAGGCCTCGTTATATAAACACGTTATAAACTCAAGATTGAGCAGCACACTCGACGCCAAACACAACTCAACAGTGTCCCAACATATTCATTGAAACATTAAGTCACATTAAAGCTAATATTTATGTGTTTTAAACACTTATTAATGGTCATTTTCCACCCGGGAGAAACATGCAACTTACCCACAGCAATGCTTCGTTAACTCTG